GAAGTCTGGTGGAGGCCCCCTCCACCTCGCCGGAGGAGGGCCCGCTGGGAGGTCTGGTCGACGTGGAAGGGGGGCATCCCACCAGACCTGTTGGAGGTGGAAGGGAGGTCTGGTACCAGACCTAGTGGGGTTGGGGGTAACTGAAGACCCAACCCAGGCAAAGCAAGAAAACCAGCATGGAGGCGAACGCGGCCCAAGACGGCACCAATATACCCCCCAGGCAACTCACGACGGCCCAAGAGGGCCCCTAATGTCCCAGGTAGCCCCATATACGACTCAAGAGTGTCCCAGGAGGCCCCCATGACAACCCGACAGTAACCCATGAAATACCACATGTTGTCCATGTGTGCCACGTGAGAACCCCAGGAGACGCAATAATGAGACAAGGAGAACGAAATGGAAGAAGGGAGGGTGACAACATGGGGGGCGTGGGAAGGGGGAGGGCGACGACGTAGACGAAGGAGTGCGCCCCGAAGCGGCGCGGAAGAGCGCGTCACATGTCGCGGCCCTTGCAAGGCTATGGGCGACGACATGTCACGCGTTAAGGCTTTCGTGGCGGTGCTCGAAGACTCGCCACGCCGAGTGCTGCGCGGTCGCGGTGCGCGGGGCTTGCCGCGAACAGATCGGCATGACGCACGCGCCGTGGTTTCTACCACAACCGCGCGACGCGTATGATTTGTCAACAATGTCGCGCCCTCCACGAGCGGACCGGGCCCTCCACTTTGAGACGTGCGCAATAAAACACCATCAAAACATAATGCGAGTGGACGAGGGGGAAAGCAACCAGAAGAGGTCGCGCGAAAGGTGGACAACAAATGAACAATGCTCACAAAAAAATCACATGCGCAAGCGCCCAACGAAACAAACTTATAGACACTCCAACAATTTGGCGTGCCGCGAAGAAGGGAAAAGGGGCGGGGGGCCCGCGTGCCCACGAGGAACAAACTTAACGGCATGGTAATCGCTACTGGACACGCCGTCACGCAGAGCCGCTCTGACAACACACACGCACACGGGCGCATCATCGCGCAAAAGCGGCCGAACCACGCCGCGCGAAGCATCGCTGCGCCAAGGCGATCCGCCCATGCAAAACACGCGCAAATGGCATCCGAAAAGAGCGTTACGCGCCGCGCAAACAAATATGGCGCGGTGCCGCAACAATCAGGCAGCTACGAATGTAAACTCCTCTGAACAGCGCGCACGCGCGTCGTGTTAAACAGGCCGCGCCGCGCAGGCACGCCACTCGGTCTCGCGCCAGCACGTCGAAGGGAAGGTCTGCGGGAGACGCTCTGCAAGTGGCAATGAAGCAACCCCACGAGAACGCGATACATGTGAAATCGAAGCACGTGCCAACAGTAACCGCGACAACAGAACAACCAACAAAACATCATTTTAAAGAAACATCCATAACTTCCGGTTGCGGTGGTTTCTTGCGCGGTCACGGAAGGCGGAATTTGCCGGCTCCGGTGCTGTGGCGAAAGCGGCCCCGTCTGCAACGCCGCTTCTCCAACGGAAGCCTGTAGTATCAAATCGGGCATGCACTGCGGAAGAAGCTGCAGTCTGTGCGCCGCCTCCTTCACGGCGGCCTGCAAATCTGAAGCGTGCACATCTGCGAAACTACGTTTGTGAACGACGCCATTCATTAAAGCACGGACCTGTGGCACCGCCACATCCGCGGCTGGCACAAGAAGACTTCGCCCACAGTGCGGCGGGACGACCCGGAAGAAGGGGGAGAAGGGGAGGGAGAGGGGAAGACGGCGGGGAGGAGGAACGATCCTGCAGAGCGTGGTGCAAACCATCGCCAACCAGGTCGGCTACTGCTCAAGGCCGCACGGGGGGAGAGAGGAGGAGACAGGCAGGGGAGGCGAAGAGCCGGCCCGCCCCGGCGGGGTTAGCCGGAGCTCCGCCTCCAGGAAGCGAGAGCGGGAGGAGACGAGGGGGGAAGGATATTCCAGGCGGGCGCGGTACAACTTTGAGCCCTTTTCCGCTCCATGCAAGCCCACGCTGAGACGCCATCGGCCGTACGGCTGGGACAACAGACTGCCCGCAAGGGATCCAAAATCGACGGGCAGGCATCCCCCGAACCGGCCGCCCGAGAGGGGACGAGGCGAGGAGGAGGAGGAGCAGTGGAGGGAGAAACAACAGGGACCAATCTAAAATCGAGGATCGGCCGGTACGGCCAAAATCGAGACTCTCGCCGTAACTGTCTGGACGGCCGCTGCTCACTCACGCGTCCGTGCCGTGGCCGCTGCGCCCCTCCCTCAAGTACTCGCCGAAGGCGCCCAAGATTTCGCTCGTCGCCAAGAGATGGCGTCGCCGGCCATTGTGCACCCGGTACAGCGCGTACACCGCCACCGCCCAGTTGATAGTGGCTTCGTCCGTGCGGAATGTCCCCCCCAAGCCAAGGAAATCATCCAATGCGAGCGCGCCGGGCGTAAGTTCCACTCCCGCTTTCTGGCGAAAGAGGTCACGGACAGCGCGGCAGTGTGCAAAATGCGTGATAGAGTCTTCCCCTGCGCCGCATGCAAATCGGCATGGGCAACTTCCACCAAAACGGGCACTCGTACACCAACCGTTGCAGAAGAGGCGGAGCACTGCAGCCCAGACGCGCGGGAGACAGCGGGCACCCACCATCCGCAGAACGCGCAGAGCAGGCCCCAGCCGGCGGCCAGGCAAGATATCCAGAGACCAGTGGTCCAGTCTGCGACGCAGGTGAACACTTGCTTGTGCACGCGGTTGGCCGTAGATCTGGTTGGCTGCAAACCGTTGCCACCCCGAGCGTTGCTCCCAATGCTCTGCGCGCGGTTGTCGGCGACGGACCGCCGCAACCTGCTCGTCGGCCCGGATGAGGTTCATCAAGAAGCTGCCGTTGCGCCACTCGCTCAGCCACGCCACCCGCGCCAGAGACGAGGCGTCTGAGGCGCAAGAGAACCGCTGCATATGCGTCGCCCGCCGCCGGATCCCAAGGGAGCCGTTGGACTCGTAACGGACCACTCGCGCCTTGGCTGCAAATACAGTTGACCCTACGTCCACGAGCTGGTCTGTGCTGCCCAGATCGCGGAGTTCACGGAGGGCGTCGGTGGTGATCCAATCCATCGGGACACGGAACAACCGTTGGCAAGCTGCGGCTTCTGTGCGCGCGAAGTCATGCGGCAACACTTCTAGTTGCCCCACAAATAAGAGGACGGATGCAATGTACACTCCGTACGCCTTTAGAGAAATAAGGAGACCTGCGCCCACTTCTCCCCACTGACTGGCTCGCGTCAAATATTTACTGATGGGGGTCTCCCAAGACAGCTGCCCGTGACCGGGGCCGATGTAGACGCCCAGGTATTTCGCCGCCGCGGCCACCACGATTCCTCCCCAGCCAGGCGCGCAAGCGCTGATAGCAGCCCGCGCTCGCTCCTCGTCAAATGGATCTGTAGGGACTACCACTGTTTTCTGCACATTCAGCCCCAAGCCAGAAATCTGGCGAAACTCGTCGAATAACTGCTGCGAACTGCCGAAGTGTGCCCGCGCATTCGCCAGCACCAGCGCGAGATCGTCGGCGTAAGCCCGGGCGGCGGCGGCCGGAAATAATCGTCGAAGCCGGCGAAGAAGCAAGTCCGAGCAGGCAGCGTAGAGCAACGGCGACAGCGGGCAGCCCTGGCGGATGCCTCTGGATGAGCAGAAACCAAGGTAACGCCCACCAGCAATGCCCAACTCGCAGCTGTTGTTCCTGTAAAGGCCGCCAATGAAATTTAGCAGCCAGCTGGGCCATCCAAGACGACGAAAGAAGCTCATCAGCAGCTGGTGTTCGATCGAGGGGAAGGCCGCGGCGAAATCGAAGAAGAATGCCATTCCACCTTCCGTCTGCGCCGCCGACTCCAGCATGGCTTCGTCCACGTCGATGATATTGCTGATCATTGAGCGGCCTTGGATAAATCCTCGCTGGTCGTCGATAATCAAAGGGCCTAGCACTGGTTCCAACATGAAACGACATGCGCTTGCCAAGAACCGATTGTCCGCGTTAGTGATATTGAGCGGGCGCACGCCTCCCGGGTCGAAGAGCTCCTCCCCGTCGCCCGTCACTCCGACAGCTTTCTTCGGGAGGAAAATGAGGATGCTGGAATAGAAATCGGGGTATTCGGCATCGATGTGGGCAGGGGCGTCGTCGCTGCAGATTTGATGAAAAGCTTCATAAAGGACGTCCACCGCAATGTCCTCCAGGCACCTCCAGGCCGCATAAGGGATGCCATCTGGACCCGGGGCGGAGTTGTTGGATGCCTGAATGGCGCTGCGGAGGTGATGCTTGCGAAGACGAATCTGGCGCACGGCTTCGTGCCCAAGACTGTGTTCATCCCGGTGGGCCGCGTCCTCGTCCAGCCACAGCTGCAACAGCTCAGCGTTGATGCCTCGGCCGGCGAACACGCCCCCCCAATGGTCCCGAAGCGCCCCGGCCATTGCAGCGGGCTCGGTGAGGTGCTCGCCTCCGGCGCCCCGGATTGCTCGAGTGCCGCCCCCCTTCCCTGGCAGTAGTCGGTAAAGCAACTGCGTGGCCTTCTTCTTGCGCCTTCTCGCAGCGATTTCTTCTCCTCCGCAAGCTGTGCAGCTGGTCGTGCCGCCCCTGTCGCCGCTCTCGTCGCTGCCCTTGCTGTCATGGCCTTAACTTTCGGCAAGTGCCCTAGAGCTACAGGTGGCGCCGTAAGCATTCGCAGGAACGTACGCGCACATGATTTCGAAATTTCGATGCTCCTCGGCGACCGGCGACGACCACGACGACGACGACGACGACGACGACGACCGACCGACCGACCGACCGACCGACCGACCGACGACGACGAAGGCGACGACGACGGCGGAGACAGACGGCGACGACGACCGACGACGACGGCGACGACCGGCCACGACCACCGACGACGACGGGCGGAGGCCACGGCCGACGCCGGAGGCGACGGCGAGCAACGACCGACGACGGCGCACCGGCCGACGACGGCGCCGCGGAGCCGGCCGCCGAGCACCTCGGCGGCAGCAGGTCCCTCCCGGGCACGTGCCGCGCCCGGTAGTAGAAGACCTTGCGGCCCTCGATGCCGGGGTGCTGGCCGCCGCGCCTGGGAACCGACGACGACGTCGACGGCGTCGACGACGTCGACGACGACGGCGACGACCTTCGTGTCCGACGACGATTGTGACGATGTCCGACCACGACGACGACGACGACGACGACGGCAACGATGACAGCGACAGCGACGACGGCAGCGGCGTTGCGGGCGGAGAGCTCACAGAAAAGTATCGAAACGGTGTCGAACGAGTGTCGCCTCCCAGGGCCCGACACGTGAAAGGCCTGCAGTTTCGGTACTTTCTTGGTGCTCGAAAGATGTCCTTGTGATCAAGGCTAAAGTAGGTCGGAACATCCTAAGGCGGGAGGAACGTGGGGGATGGCAGCGGAAGGGGAGAGGGCGGGGGCGGGGAGGGGGGATTTCTGGATGCTTTGAGCGAGCCCAAGGGGGCCCGCAAAAGCGCGCACCAACGACGAGGCTGAGCCACGCAGCACTGGGCTCCGGAGCCCCCAGTGCGACGGTGAGGGGGTTGGGGGAAAGGAAAATAGAGGAAGAGCAATCTGCATAAACATACACTGTTGGAGGTACGCGCAGATTTCTTGGATCTGAGCTGTACCCCACACCCTGGCGCGCTACGCGCCAGGGGCGGCGCTGGAGGCGCCGCCAGGGGTGTCCCAGCGCGGATCAAACAAAATCCGCGGGCAGCGCCGAAAGTTCACATTAATGACGTTTTCTTCTTCTGGGAAAAAAAGAAACAAGAAAAGGCGGAGGGGGGGGGGGGGGAACACGGTGAGAGGAGGTAGGGACGCAGGGTGAGGGGGGAAGGGAGCGCGGAGGAGGAAGGGGCAGGGCCGATGGGGGCAGAGGCAGCCGGGGTGCGGGGAGAGGCGGGGGGAGAGGCGGGGACGGGGGGAGCACGGGGACGGGGGGGGGGGAGGGACGCAGGGCGAGAGGGCAAGGGAGCGCGGAGTACATCGGAAAGGGCAGGGCCGAGGGGGAGGCGGCGCGGCCAGAGGCCGCCGTCGGAGGCGCGCCCGCGACCGCCGCGTCGGGGGCACGGACTGTCTGCGCGCAATTCCGCGCAAGATTGGGGGATAAAAACGATAAAAACTAGAAATAGGTCGGGCATGTCCCCCTACAGGGGGAATGTTCAAAAAACAATATGGGGACGATTCTTGACCATGTTTGAATACATACTCGTTATGTACTTTGATGGTATTTTGAACTCTTCGTCTAAAATCCGCCTGTAGGGGGACATGCCCGACCAAATTCTAATCTTTATCCCCCAGTCTTGTGCGGAATTGCGCGCAGACAGTCCGTGCGCGCCTCGCCTCCCCGACGCGGCGGTCGCGGGCGCGCCTCCGACGGCGGCCTCTGGCCGCGCCGCCTGACCCCCTCGGCCCTGCCCTTTCCGATGTACTCCGCGCTCCCTTGCCCTCTCGCCCTGCGTCCCGCACCCCGCCAGGACTACACAAAAAAACATCGATGAACCCTCCAACTCGTGCATTTCTGTTTCAGGAGTTGTCCGGCCAGCCCAGGCTCCAGTGGGGAAAACTTCACAAACAAAACACCCAACTCGGGAATTTCTCGGGGGGGTACACCACCCGGACAACGCCTTAGGGCACGATCTGGTCCAGGTTTCGACGGGAATCCAACCGCGACGGCGAGAAGCCTCCTGCAGGTCGAACCTCCAGCAGAAACGCACGCCCACTCATGTTTTACCCTCGCGGCTGGTTGGTCCGACGCCGCGAGGGTACAGGCGGATCGCGCTAATAGTGATTACCACCAACGTGTGCCGATGGGAGGTCAGACCGACGAGCCGTTGACGGGTGCAGGCAAAATGTGCCGGGGGCCATGCTAGCGGAAGAGACGAAGCAAGACGCGCAAAGGGAACAACTACGTCATCTGCGAGCCGCCCAGGAGCGCGCGACAGCGGAGACAGAGCGCAAGAGAAGCATGGCTGCGGCGAGGGTGCCTGACAGTGGGGCAAAAACGCGGAGACAGAGTGAGAAGGCCAGCAGGTGACGAAAGTAGGTGTCGGCGGCGCCTACTTTGGCCTCCCAACACAAGAAGGTGCACACACAAACACAATCACAACACATAAATCTTGGTCCGGGCCCATCCTCCTGTTCCTCCTCCCCCTACTCCCAAATCCGTACGCGATCGATCCCCCAGACTATCCTGGGATCCATCCTGGCAAGTTTTTCAAGCCGCGTCCTGTCGTGGCGGGGAGGCCCTCCAGGAACGCTCAACAACATGGGAACCGAAGAGGTCGGCGTCGTCGTCGTCGTCGTCGTCCTCCTCAATGGCGAGGGAGTGCGGCCTCTTGCGGTGTGCGAAGGGGCACGCGCCGACGACATACGGGTCCAGCCCTGGCCCCAGTTGCCGGTCGCACAAGCGCGCCAGCGTCTCCCTCATCGCCTGGCAGGCGTTGCGGTGAAGCTGTTTTCCAAAGCTACAAATTACAACCATGATACGGACGTTCAACCAACCAGAGGCAAAGAAGCTCCGTGAACCAAGGTGTGGCTCTTCTTGGCGCCGAAGGGGGTTGCGACGAGGGGAGGGGGAGGGGGGGAGAAAAAAGAGGGGCATGGGGAAAGCTCGAGTATCTTGGATGGTGTTGTTCCTGTGTGAACCTCCGGAACCAGAGGCCCCCGGGAACCTCCAGAGAAGTCTGTTGCGGGAGGAGGAGGAGGAGGAGGAGGAGGAGGAGGAGGAGGAGGAGGAGGAGGTGGATTAGTGATGGGTTGGGAGGTTGGACACCTGAGCCACACGGCTGTGCCACCGCCACGGAAGGATGCACCTCCCCCACGCACGGTGGACCCCTCCCGAGCGCCGCCCCCACCCGCGGTCTGGGTATCGCACTCCTGCCTGGCAGGGAAGGGGGAACCGGTCCCGGGGACGGGGAACGCCTTGAGGGGCATCTATCCGGCATGCAAGGGGGGAGGCCTTTCTCCCTCTACCTTGGCGAGGGTGGCTTGGCCACCCTGCCCCGGCGAGCGTGAACGCCCCACCGCCGCACTTGCCGCACTCGCGCTGGCTCCGCACCCCAGCCCTCCACTCCTCCTCCTCCTCCTCCTCCTCCCTCCTCCTCCTCCTCCTCCTCCTCCTCCTCCTCCTCCTCCTCCTCTCGGGCGGCCCCATGGCCAGTGTTCTGGGAGCCTACGCCTGCCAGTCACTGGCCTCGGGCACGCCCATGGGGGGGGCTCCCGTCGGGGGCGACGGTGGGGGCGAGTAGCCGCGTAGCCGAGGGGCGGGCATCAACAGTGAAAACGTATAGTAAGGACGCGTGGTAAGGACGCAAGGCCCTTGGAGGCCGAAGTTGAGGCATTCTGGGCGGCAGGCGGCCACACCCCCAGGGAACCTGAGAAACTGGCCAGCGAAAATTGCTAGGGACGGGCCGCAGAGGCTGAGGCAGGCAAGGGCCCAAGGGCACCCTTGAAAGAATCGTTTGTCCTTACTATGCGCGTTGACTGTACACGCATTCGCCCTGGAGCCTCGTCGAAGACGTGGATCCTCGGCGCACCTGAATACGTGCACTGCTCTCCCTTGGCCGATTCGCCCCCGTCGTCGCCCCTGAGAGTTCCTCGGAGCGGAAGGAGAGGCCCCATGTGCTTTCCACCCCGGCGAATAGTGTGGACAAGGGCCGCCGCCGCCACACCGCGAACGACGCGCCCAGCCTACCGCACCTCCATCGCCCGCCCCCCCCTTTTGCGTCATCTTACAGTCAGCCCGTAGGAATGAGGACGCACGATGAGGACGCAAGGACCTTGGAAGGCCATGTCGAGACCCTTTGCGAGCGGGGCGCGGCCAGCGACAGCGGCCAAGGATGGACTGAAGGGGAAGGATGCAGGGCTGACCTTGGGAAGTTGCTCGTCCTTGCTATGCGGGTTGACTGAATCCTCTCTCCATGCTCTTGCCTCCTCCACCACCTCCTCCTCCTCCTCCTCCTGTTCCTCCTCCTTTCCCCTCTCTCCTCTTCCTCCTCCTCCTCCTCCTCCTCCTCCTCCTCCTCCTCCTCCCCTCCTCCCTCCTCCTCTCCCACCCCGGTGGTCGAGCCAGCTCCTCTGCAACACCACGTGCTATCGCTTACAACAACTGCCTCGCTCCTTCTGCGGGCCTGCCACCGTCACCCGCTCCCCTCCCCCGCGCCTCTGACCAGGAGGGGGAGGAGGTGGAGGAGGAGGGGGAGGGGGAGGAGGAGGAGGAGGAGGAGGAGGAGGAGGAGGAGGAGGAGGAGGAGGAGGAGGAGGAGGATGAGGAGGAGGAGGGGTAGCCATGTTTGGCTCAAGGCAGCTGTATAGCTTCCAGGCACGGCACCGCTTGTACAATCTCGAATATTCTGTGGCATCATGTCTTCGCCGCTCTCGCCCCACCTGCTCCTGTACGATCTCCGCAACAGGCTGCTTCGAGGCTTATCGGACGTTTCAGGGCGCAAGTTCCACGGCCTGGCAGTCGCGGCTCGGAACAGTGAGCGGCTTTCATCAGCCACCAAGAACAAGCTGGCACGCCTCGACAACGCGTACAACATCGTTAGCCACATAAGCCGTGTGGACATCGACGAATATTTAGAGGACGTGCTGCGCGAGGCCACGGGCTCCAAGGGCAAGCGCACGGGCCAGACTGTGTAACAGCCTGCCGACAGCGCCGCTGCAGGCGATAGTGCCACATCTTCCTTTGGCTTTCATGCAGATTCCCTCGAGCTCGTCCCCGGACAAACCGCTTTCGGCAAGGGCACGAGCTGCTCGGAGCCCGCTCCCACTGTTCTGGACATCCCGAAGATTCTCACCTGCGCCCGCGAGGCATACGACGAGCAGCTGGGAGAAGGGGACAAGGGGACAACCAAGGCCTACCATCCGAGGACGGAAGCTAGCCGAACAGACATGAATGAGGCCGTGCCTCGGGGGGCAGTGCAGGCAAGTCCCGCACAACCCTGAAAAGCGCGCACGGGCGCGCCGAGCCGCACCCAGCACCCAGTCCAGCGCAGTGCCGACGCTAGGCGACGGCCCTACGCTGGAGCGGGCGGTGGCAGGAGTTGCATCGAGGCACACGACGGCACGATCGCACGTCTTCAGGGCTTCCTGGAGAGCTCCCACCATCAGCGCATAGAAGGTCGCCGCAGCTCTGCCCGCGCGGAGGCCCACGATGCGGAGGACGACGAAGAGCAGCGCTGCGAGGCCAGCGAGGAGCTGGGCAAAGTCCAGAGCTGGGCACACACCTCGCCATCGCCCGCGCCGCCCCCAAGTGCACGCCACCCCCGTCGAAACCGAGGGGGGGTCCGAGGATTCCCCGCAGAGGGACTTCATTCTCGGACAGGACAACGTGAACGTCACCTGTGTGCAGCAGGCGACGGGCGTAATGGTGCGACCCACCGGCTCATGCAACGACGACGGCGACGACGGCCTCACGCTGACCCTCACTGCGTCGTGCGAGGTCGAAGATCAGGACTTCAAGCAGGCAGGTATTAGGTGCGAGGACCTCCTAGAGCACGTCTACGGCGAAGTCGCCGGCTGGTCCGAGCACGACGGCGAGATCACGGACACAGAGGACGACGGCACCACTGCAGGGCGAGGGGGTAGGCCCTACTCCGGAGGCCGCGGCCACCCCGGCAGGGCAAAGGGGGTAGGCCCAAGGTCGTCGCGCTCGCCTTCGGCACCTTCGGCTCGAGGCTCGCAGTCGCCCTGAAAGATTCTGAAAAGTTCTGAGAGATTCTGAATGGTTCTGCGAGATTCTGACAACATTATGAGAGATTCTGAGAGGTTCTGAAAGATTCTCAAAGATTCTGAGAGATTCTCAAAAATCATGCGAGATTATCAAAGATTCTGCGGCGCCGCCGCCGCCCTGGGCCAGCGGGGCCCAGCGGCGGGGAGAACGATCGCCTGAGGTTTGGTCGTCGCCCCCAAAAATACGCCCTCAATCCCAGCCAGAGACGATGCCCACCCGAGGAGCCGTGAGCACGGACGCGTGGCCCCTTGTTTTTGGTTGTTTCTTGGGCATGGCTTAATGAAGGGGTCACAAATGGGGGGGGGGTCAGAAAAAGGTCCCCTTTCGTGCCCCTTTCGGGCCCCTCCAGCGCCCCAGGGGGCTCGTTTAGGTACCGTTTGGGTACCTTTTCGGACCACCCTCGCCACCCCCCCATTTATGACCCCCCCATTACGCAACGCCCAAGTTTCATTTTGCGTTTTTGCCGCCGGTTGGGTTCCATCCGCGGTTCCCTGGGATCGAGACACGCTTCGTGAGGCCAGAACCCAGAACAGGCCTCCAGGGGCCAAATGATGAAACGGGCCTCCACGGGCCAGTAGGAGGGGGCAGGGGGAGGAGGAGCAGGGGGAGGAGGAGGAGGACGGGGGGGATGCAGGGGAAGAGGAGGAGGAGGAGGAATAGGAGAAAAGGAGGAGGACGAGGATGAGGGGACAATTATGCACTGCTGCGGTGGCTACTACTACTGCCGGACTACTACTGGGCTACTTACACGATTGGGCTACTTCTACGTTGTGCACTCAATGCCGTACTGCTGCTACTTGTTTTGTCCGAACCATCCAATGGTGTTGGGTCCTCGTTTTGAAGAGACAGCGCCCCGCGTTCCTTCCTCCTCCCGTTGCCCCCTCCCTCCTCCCCGCATCATCATCATCATCATCATCATCATCATCATCATCATCATCATCATCACCCTGACGAGGATCGTGGCCCCGTAGGTGCTCCACCGAAGCGCCAGTAGCAAAGTGCGCATGGCGGTTTCGGGCCATTTCGGCGCACCCTTCACGAGGATCGTGGCCCCATCGGAGCTCCACCGAAGGCGCCAGTTGCAAAGTGCGCGCGGCGGCCTCGGGCCATTCCGGAACACTCCTCACGAGGATCGTGGCCCCATAGGAGCTCCACCGAAGGCGCCAATAGCAAAATGCGCATGGCGGTTTCGGGCCATTCCGGCACACCCCTGACGAGGATCGTGGCCCCATCGGAGCTCCACCGAAGGCGCCAGTAGCAAAGTGCGCATGGCGGCCTCGGGCCATGTCGGCACACCCCTCACGAGGATCGTGGCCCCATAGGAGCTCCACCGAAAGCGCCAATAGCAAAGTGCGCATGGCGGTTTCGGGCCATATCGGCACACCCTTCACGAGGATCGTGGCCCCATAGGAGCTCCAAATAAGGCGCCAGTAGCAAACTTTGCATGGCGGCCCCGGGTCATTCGGCACACCCCTCACGAGCATCATGGCCCCATAGGAGCTCCATAGAAGGCGCCAGTAACAAAAAGCGCATGGCCGTCTCGGGCCATTTCGACGCATCCCCCGCGAGGATCGTGGCCCCATAAGAGCTCCACCGACGGCGCCAGCGGCAAAGTGCCCATGGCGGCCTCGGGCTATTTCGGCACACCCCTCACGAGGATCGTGGCCCCATAGAACTCCAAATAAAGCGCCAGT